CACTACACAGTAACCATCTACCTTGAGTGGCTCTTGGGCCATGTATTGGGTGAACATTGCTAATAAAAAAAACACCAATCAACAGGAGAACCTTGCATCTCGACTTCAATCACTTTCCCACTGCTGCAATGTAGCTTCTGCGTCTCTTTTCTGTAAATATTTTCATGATGCGTTTTCCTCTTTGTTATTTTGACTTAATGAATTCAAGCGCCGTACTAGATTGGTGGCTAGGTCTCATTATTTTACTGCTGAAATTGCTAATTGTAGCCGTAAGTTTTATTCTAATATTTCCTTCTCTCTCGTACTTCGCGTCTGTGGGATGAGTAAAATTCTCTGACACGACACAGTATACGAACTTTCGTAGTATATATATATATATATATATATATATATATATATATATATATATATATATAACCACATTAGACATACCAATTCGTTCACTAGCTCAGTCACTAAATCTATTTTCAAAATCTACCACAACTCTAACTGTAGAAGTCATAACATTTACCTATTAGAATGCACACCATGGTAGAAACAATACGTGGGAAAATTTAAATGGCCCTTTCACTACAGAATTAATAACTGTCAGAATCGGATCAAGTCGGCTCCCCACGAAAGATTATTACCTGTAGAAAAACATTTCCGCCTAGAAAAACAAGATATTAAAAGCCATACAAAATTCACTATAATTGGAAAAATAGAAATAGACAGAAAAGATAACCTTAGAAAAATACTAGAGGAACATGAAGACAAATGGATTTTGTGCCTCAAAACACTTCGTCCAGACGGGCTTAACCCCAAATTTGACAACCTAGATGAATTAATATACAACCCCATAAATCAAGCCCTACAGACATTTCTCACACACACAAGTCAGACATGCTTGCAGAGTTGTTGAGGTCTCACACTTATACACACATTCATAGTAATATATACACATACACACATCATACACACTCCCAAAAAACTAAAAGATAGCATGCACTTAACACACACATCCCATTCCTAGCAACCAGTAAAACTGCCAAAATGACCAAGGAGGGAATTCTGAAAGTCAGGAATCTCCCATTTTCTATCTTAAAAACAACTTAAAAGAGGCCGTTTGACCAACACAAGGACTGACCAAAATTAACGATAAAAAACAAATGAAAACTACAGATAAAATTCATATTCTTCAGAAACAGTCATTCACTCCTGTAGTTCACTGCTACTAACAAGCAAGGATTTTTTTCTCCTGATGATGGCCATGCCGTCCGAAACTAGTTTCAGGAACCTAATTGAAATAATAAAACAAAAAATATTAATAAACAACCTAGCGTGTCCGAAAATTTCAATTTTTAAAAACACACACACACACACACACATATATATATATATATATATATATATATATATATATATATATATATATATATATATATATATATATATATATATATATATATATATATATATATATATATTAAAGTAAATATGCTCTCTCCGGTAGGATCATGCAGGAGAGCGAATATTTGGCCGGTAGAGGAAAAGAAATCATCATCATTATCATCATCATCTCCTTGACTTTTGCTCCAAATCAAAGAGGCATTTTTATTATTCCAATATTCTTCCAAAATATACCATGTACTTTCAAGTTGTAGTCGATTATGTCTCTCCACAGCTTCCTGCCATTTGTTTTGACTCTCTGTCTTTGTACTGCTATCAATTCACACAAAATTACTTTCCTCGTTATGTATCACGGAAATTTTCAGATGCCTCTTTCTAACTGTGGGAAAAACTCTCCACTATCGCCATCTCCAAATAAATACACAGCTCATCATCATCAACATCTTCATCCCTATGACTTTTGTAATCTTAAGGGATATCCGAATACAGAAGCCATATTGAATCCTCTCCACAACGGTCTATCAACGGCAGCTATCAGCAATTCTGTTCTAGTCATACCTGTCCATTGTTTGGCATCGTCCAACCAATTTTTGCGTTGGCATCCTCTCCTACGTCCATCTTCATCGGTACCTTACATGATGGTCTTACACAGGCTTCCTACCTTTTAATGTGTCCAAACCACGCCATTTTTCTCCGTTTGACAGTGGTGAGAAGTGGTTCCTGGTGGCCCACAAAACTTTCAACCCTTTTCCACACAAACTCATTGGTTTTATGTTCCCAACAGAAGATGCCAAGGAGTTTTCTTATGCATTTGTTCTCAAACGCTTTCTCTCTGTTTCTGCCAACAGTGTCCACATTTCACATAGGAGAATGGAGACTACCAGTGATTTGTACGTTTTTACTTGAAATAAATTTACTGTTTAATAAATAAACGGGGCGCCTATTCAAAAACGAATAACCACTAAAAATAATGTTTAACGTGACAAATATGTCGGATTAATAAATAAAAAACTATTATTTCTTTTCCTTCGGGGCATAGATATATGAATGAATATTGCTTGAAACAATCGAACGTCTAGCCACACTGAAGAGCTGTGATACAGCGAAACAG